AAACCACAGGTCTGACATGTTTCTCAATAGCCTGTATTGAAGGAAAGCATTGTTCCACTATGCAAAGCTTACTGGGTGCCTAAACATCAGCCAGAGGTCATATCTGAGATCTAGCAATGGCTGTAGTGAGAAAAACACACATTCTAAAGCCAAGATCAAAAATTCATCTTACATGCCCATCTTTAATTACATTTATGGTACTTAATGGCAATTTCTTTTTTGCCTGTGGCTTTTTTCTCTACAGTGGAGATTTGCCATTGGGTACTGAGTTTGAAATTTGTGATGGGTGAGTAAGCTGGTTTTCAGTAAACCTAGGTCCAGCAACAGGGAATCTGGATGAACGACAGGGTCAGTGAGTGTACCTAAGTCTGTTTTTAGCTGTAGCCTCAATTACCTCCGTAAGGATTGTACTTTGTGTATCAAAAACAGTACAAAAACCACTAAACCACTAAACGCATTTCAGCAAAGGAGACTCTGAGACATAAAGCTGATCTTTAGGCCTCACTATGGTTATTACAGCTAATACCAGCCATCCAAACCTCAGCCCTGGGTAGCAGCGTGGAGATAAAATGTGGCTCTATAAAATGAGTGATATGTGCAAGGAACAGTTTATCAAGTTGTACTTTGATGACAATCAAGGATCAATACACAATTAAAACCAGAGGATGATGGCCCAGATGGCCACCACTTCCTTTAAGCACCACTAGCAGCCATATCACCCTGCGACTCACAACTGGCAACCCACTGAAGCTCAGCAGGTGTGAGCCTGGTCAGTACCTGGATGGGAGACCTCCTGGGAAAAACTAAGGTTGCTGCTGGAAGAGGTGTTAGTGGGGCCAGCAGGGGGTGCTCACACTGCAGTCCATGTGGGTCCTAATGCCCCGGGGACACTGTACTGTAAACAGGTGTTGTCCTTTGGATAAGATGTAAAGCCTAGGTCCTGACGCTTGATGGTCATTAAAAATCCCAGGGCACTTCTTGAAAAGAGTAGGGGTGTAACCCTACTGTCCTGGCCAAATTTTCCATTGGACCTTACCAATCATGGCCTCCTAATAATCCCCCTCTATGATTTGGCTACATTACTCTGCTCTCCTCCCCACTGGTAGCTGATGTGTGGTGAGTGTTCTGGCGCACTATGGCTGCCGTCGCATCATCCAGGTGGGGCTGCACATTGGTGGTGGTGGAGGGGCGTCCCCATTACCTGTAAAGTGTTTTGAGTGGAGTGTCCAGAAAAGCGCTATATAAGTGTAAGCAATTATTATTATTATTATTTTAATCAATTCTGTGACTTTCTGATTTCTCAGGGAAATCCACACTTGGCTTGTTGTAAAGGGAGAAACTGTGGCCACAGAAGCATTGCTGATCAGGCTGCACACAGCACACGACGGAACTGGAGGAAAAATCTACAATGGTTAGCTAAGATGGAATTCTTGTCCACCTTTTCCCATTTTAGTGGCTCACAGGGGAGCCGGTACTTGTCTCAGCAGGCACCAACAGGCGCAAGAAAGGATGCACCCTGGACAGGACGCCAGTCCATCACAGGGCACAGACAGACACTAGCTCGCACACACTCGTACCACGGGCGATTTTCACAGAAGCCAGTTAAACTGCCAGCAGGTCGTTGGATGGTGGCAGGAAACCGGAGTACCCTGTGGAAACCAAAGCAAACAGGTCCAGAAGTGAATTAAGAGCCCCAGCACAGCAAGGCAGCAATGCTAACCACTGCTCAACCATCCTGCCCCTGATTTTAAACCACATAGTCTAAATAGGCCTAATGTCCTCCTGCCATTTGTAACCTTTTAATGAGCCCTGATTGTTCCTAATCATTCCCAACCATCTTCCAAGGACAATAGTGCCCCTATTACCCTCACAGTTGCTGTGTAGGTGAATGTCCTAGTGTGAGCCCAGAATTCCACATCTCGCTCTAGTCTGGACCTCATGCTCTAAGCCTAAGTTAGGTGGCATATAACCTATTTGTTTTAGCCTGCATTGCAATACTCTTTCCCTCTTGGATTTTCTTGCATTATCTTTTGCCTGTGCTTGAAATACATTGTAGTCTTTTTTTTCTTTAACTGGATTCTGATGTTTTTTTTTTTAATATTATAACTCTTTTTCTTTAGTTTGTCCTAATTGATTTTGTGAACCATCTGACATACTGTTTTTAGCTTTTGATTTATTCACTGTTTGGGATTCATTTCATCTGTGCTTCAAAAAGAATGTGTTTAAACCCTTGATAAATTTTCCACTGATTTCTTGTATATCTTGTCCCATTTTACATCTCTTAAAACGTCTCATTCCGGCTTCTCGATTACTTAATCAAGCCTGATGCCAAAAGGTGTGCATATGGAAATGGGAGACTGTATTTTTAAATCCAGGGCAGCATAACATAATGAGCTCTGCTAATTGACATTGTTGTAAGAGTTTAACTTCCTAATTTCGCAGTCTAATTAACAGAGTAAGGATTCTGTGACACAATTCTGTATTACAAACGATTGAGGAAGTATTCCTGTACCATTGGAATACCAGTACAATTATTCACTGCACTGGGTGAGAGTATCTGAGAAAGAAATAATAAATACTAAATATGTTTAATATCAAATATTGGTCTCCATATCAAAAAGTAAGGAGAAAAAAAAACTCTGAGAAATGTTATTTACATAACATTTTAAAAGATTAAACATCGATTAAAAGATTAAACATTGATCAAATTTTAATCAAATCAAAGCACAGAGCAACTGCTTTGCAGCAGTGCGCTATGATCTAGAAAGGTGTCACGTGATTTCTAATACAAACATTTTTGTGTTGGATTAGGTTTGTACATGTTATCTTAATGGGTTGATATTGCTTGCTTTTGTGCAATAATTAAACCTTAAAAGTTAACATAATATCCCTTTCTTTCTCTGCTTGGAAAGGAACAGCGAGAAAGTGTGATACTAAGAGACTTTGTTTAAAAGTGCAAGAGCCTTTGGTCACACCCCCAGAGGGAGAGAGACAATGCCATGGAGGTCACAGGAGACGAGTAGGTTTGATTCAGAAATTTCACACTTTGGGAAAAAGGTGTTGTTTTCTTTAGGCCTGCAAAACAATCCTGCATAGAATTTGCAAAGTGTGTGTGTGAATAATAGGTACATGTTATAAAGCAAGTAATCACAAAGGACACAGAAACCACACTTTTCTCAATATGGGTGTTGTTTTCTAGTTATTATGCAATTTGTCCTGGGCTGTGTACATTTTTATTTTAAAATGATGATGAAATGATTTTTGGAATCAGGCCAGCTACTGTTAAAAACAAAATTCTGCTCTAGTTTTAACTTGATTTGCTGCATTTTGCAAGTCATCAGGCTCTTATTGCCCTACATTCATCACTCTTTGCCTCTAGCCATAGACTGTTTTTAATTTTAAGAGATTTTCGCAGTGCAACTATTATCAGGATTATTTCTGAAGTACGTTGCTCCTGGTTTTGTGGAAGTCATTTTTAAAACACCAAATCTGGTACAGATGAAGAGATGATGACCACGCAAACATTCTGATGGTATTGTTGTCAGAAACGTGTATCAAAATGAAAAAAACACTGCACATTCTAAATTCTGTATTTGAGAGCCATCTCATGTTTTTGTGCTTGAATACTTTTCAGAGACTTCCTGCGTGTCTCTGTATTTATGCATCATGGTGTGGGCTTATCTATAAAATTCACCTCCTGAGAATGGCATAAAGTAACAGGGTGTGATGTTATTAGTTCTGTGTATGTGTGTTGAGTAAGATAAGAGGTTCATGATCATGGTAGAATGCTTTAACTTTTGAGGGAGCTAATCTGTGTTCTTTACGGGCTGTTTTACTGAACTGTGCAATTGTATTACTAAGTGGCTTTTGTTGGGGGCTTGTTGAAGGGCTTGTTGGAAATGAGGAAAATGGAAAGAGATGCCTCATGCAGGATCAATGCTTTAAAAATCAGCCATTACAAAAATTAAAAAGGTACTTTCCTCACTGTAACATTTTTCATACGATATATCCTATCTATCTTGTTTTTAATAAAAAATACTAGTAGAATTTATCTCATGGCTATATGAAGCCACACATTTTCACAGGTGTTTAATAGAGACTGAAGCATTTTACCAAAGTCTCACGGGTCTGATGCCTCGACATTCCACAGAAGATCACAGATTCTAGTAAATGCTCATTGGGATCTTATTGTGGTCTTAATTTCCCAGAAAAGAAATCCAATACAAGCTTTTTTTCGTTCTGAAGCCCTTTGCCAAAGCAAAAAAAAAGCTCTGCGCAGAAGTTAAATCAAGACTTCTGTTCATTTTGGACTAAAAAGAAGCTACACTGCATAATCCCAAACACGAGCGCGCACACCCTTCACAGACAGTTTAAAAAACCTATGAATTGTGGTGAATGCGCAGTGTATAGTAACAATTGTACTCTGGTTTAAGTGAAGAGTTTGCTCATTTTTTTTCGGCTTTTGATTAGACCACAATTCCCAGTTAGGCGGGTACTGACTGCTAAGCACGAGGTCAGTGTGATGCTGTATTTGTTGGGGGAAACTCGCCCTATGTAATTGCGCAAGACTCTATTATTGAAGGTACAGCCAGGGACGGTTTCTTGTACAACCCCAGCAAAAGAATATTCCAGAATATTTTCTGGATTGTGGCCAGTAAATCAGAGCCCCACCCCGCCTTTCAATTCATATTATTGTCAAGAACACGCTGATGAACGTTCGTGATACGGTACAATTAACAATCATTTCTGCACACCCGGTTTGTTTTCAGAGCTGTGTGCACTCAATGATAAATACGGTAAAAAGCAGAAAAAAATCGTTTTTTTTTCAAAATCACGATTGCAACACACATCTCACTTATCAGGACCACTGAAATGTTTACTTGAAGAAGTTTTGGCGTTAATTGCACCACGGCTTCATTCCGCAACGGTTGAAATCACATTTCTGCATCTGCAATGTTGTCAGCTCGGAACAGCCTTTCCTAATACCGGTGCGGTAAGTGCAGTTCCTTCTTCCTTGCTGGGTAGGTCGAGAAGACGCTGCAGTTCCGAAAGGCCCGGGCGAATGCTCTTATTACAGCACGCCCAAAGCCTGTAAAGAGAAGCGAAGAAGAATAAAAAAAAAAATCTTAAGAGAAACCTGCACCAAGTTTCCAACCCAGCTAGCGAGAGCAAGAGTGCTGTTTGGGGTGGGGAGGACTTCCTAGTCCTGCAGCGAGAGTGAACAGCAGAGCAGTGACGTCGCGATTGCTCTGGGCTGCCCAGCCAGTCAGCGGTTTGCGGAGCGGCGGTGCAGAGAGCTGAGTCCGGGCAGGCAGCGCGTCGGCACCAGCTAGGACAAGCCGCGGCAAGCGTTCAGGCACTGCGGGGCTGGGACGCACGCCGCCGCCGCCACCACCACCGCAGAGCAAGCAAACTTTGGGAGGAGGCAGACCCAGAATGCGCAGCTATTATTCTGCAGGCTAGATTCCAAAGCTCGAAGGGAGGACGAGGCGGCTACCGTTTTTTTGGGTGTTGTTTTGTTTTTGACCCCGCACGCCTTTCCTTGTAGTCGCTTCTGCCTGTGCAGCGCATGAGTCCGTGATGTCTTCGTTGCATATCGTGCCGGATGAGCAGAGATGGGTGCCTACACACGTCCAGGTGACTGTCCTGCGGGCCAGGGGCTTGAGGGCGAAAGGCAAGCACGGCACCAGCGACGTGTACACTATTATTCAGGTGGGGAAGGAGAAGTTTTCCACTTCGGTGGTCGAGAAGACGACTGCCCCGGAGTGGAAAGAGGAATGCTCCTTCGAACTGCTGCCCGGGGTGCTGGAGGTGGGGGGACTGAGCGCCTACCCCCCAGGGAGCGGTGACCTGGTCCTCACCGTGATGCACCGAGCTTTGATCGGGCTGGATGTGTTCCTGGGACAAGCCACCATCCCCCTCGACAAAGTGTTTCAAGACGGGACGAGTCTGAGAAACGAGTAGGTTTGCTTTTTACTTTTGTTCTCGTTAGCTGTTTTTTTTTTTTGCTTGAGTGGCTACAGGGCATATTTGAACTGTTAAATCCTCTCACATGTCTTTCTAGACGTGTAAAATGTTGCATGTTTTTAGTGTAGTTTATCCCCCCGAGGCTGGCCGCCCGGGCAATCCGGTGTTCAAAGAAATTAGGGTTAAAATTAATCTTCTTTCGCAAATACCGCACAGGACTATGTGTTTCCTGCAATGTTTCCCCTCTTGACTGGACAATTAGCTGATACAACGGGCAGTTGTGAGTTTTGAAGTTGAAACCGAGATGTATCTCCGGCAAGTTTCGTCGTTGTTTTCTGTTGGAGAAGCACAAACTCATAATCGAACCTCTCTTCAGTGTTGCAGAATTGATGTCACCATCCAAGGTGGTTTAGTTTTAATTTAATACAGTCTTAGCTAAACGTTAACACCAACCAATAATGCGAATTTGAGTTCAGTTTCAGGCTGGCCTAACGGTTTGCAGTGTGTGCAAATAAAGTTACGTTATGACTTCAAAACGTGAACTCCGATATTAAAAAAAAAAGTTTCGTATTGCGTCATGTCCTTTTTTGTCGTTGTAAATAACGAATTTCCCCCCAAAGATGAGCGATGCCGGTGTCTGCGCAGCACCTGATGACTTCTCCAAACAAAGGTCGGGCCTCTGGATGAGGGGCAATGGGGCTGCAAGGGTGTCGGTGCGTTCGGGCACCCAGCCACTGTTACCAATCTGTGTTACATCTGAAGGAAAAGAGGCCTGCAATTATTACTCTGCTGCAAAACTACAATCCGGGTGTAACGCTCACTGCTGTGGACCCCGTAATGAGCGAGTACTGTGTGAGATGTACAGCAACCCTGTTACGTAGGCAGCTACTCTTCTGGCTTATTTTGAATCAAGGAAACAACAAACACTTAATGGGGCCCTTACTGCAGTATTTTTTTAGGTATTTTCATCCTCATTAATAGTCTAGTTGATTGACAAAACTGTGGAGCAGACTACAGGAAGGGTCCTTCGGGTCTCCTTAGGAGAGCTGCACCCCAGCAGTACTTCGTTGATTGCCAGCAGCTCAATTTCTTTCCTCAGACAGAGCTCTGGCACACTCTGCTCAGCCCAGCACTGCACAGTCTGAAGGTTCTTGCTATTTTAGAAATCGTTTACAGCTTTTAAACTCTGGAGATATCCACAAACTATCATGAAAGGGGATATCAAACCCCCCTACTTTATTTTGGGACGGAAATTGCAAAAACAGTTGCAGTTGGTGTCACAGAGCGCCGATCTCTGCAGCCCAGTCCCGAGCTGCCAGTCAGTTAGGGTTCAGGGATTGCCAGTGGTCTCGTGTCATAAACATCCGCCCTCCTGGTGGTGACTGTACAGTGGCGCAGCTTGCAGGACCGCTGGTGTCGTCCATCGAGCAGTAGGGTGCTGGGCCCCTCTAACATAAGGGCAACTTTGAGGTTACTGGCACCCCCCCAGACTGACAGCTAGGAGAAGCTCCATTGTTTGTGGCTGGAGAAAGAAACCTGTACGGACCTGTTGGAATAAACTGAAACAGTGCCTGACTCTGGAAATTGTCTGAACAGTGGCTCTTCCTCGTGTATTTTAAAGCCTTTGGTGCCACCCAGTTAAACCATGCTGATATCTTTGACGTGCTTGCATCTTCGTTTCCACCCTTTTCTCACAGGGGAGCTCGGTTTTTAATGGTATAGGAACACCAGCTTCGTAGTGTATGGATCACCTGGTGCTGATGCCCATGTGTCACGTACGCAGACTGCGTTGGCGTGGCACGGCCCATCAGCCAGAGGGTGTCGCCATCGGAAGCCTGAGCCGAGAGGAGAGCTGCTGACTCGGCCTCAGGCCGGGAGCAGGACAGAGGCCGAGCCGGTGACCTTGCGGCAAGCCTGAGCCGAGAGGAGAGCTGCTGGCTCGGCCTCAGGCCGGGAGCAGGACAGAGGCCGAGCCGGTGACCTTGCAGCTGCAAAGGGATGAGTCAGGGAAAAGAGGAAGGAGCAGTCTGCCGCGTCCTGGGGGAGAGTCTAGTGTCAGGAGCTGCCCCACCTTCTCGTTCTCATTCCAGCTGAGCTCAGAGTGCCCCTAATTTGATCGATCGGTTGCTTAATTAGAATTAACATGCTTCCCAGCTCTCTGCTCCTTGTTCATTGAAGGCCGACTATAAAAAATCACAGTACTGTCTTCCCAGGGCTGTGGACTGCTGGTCCCTAGTGGGACTGACTGGCGAGTGAGAGAAATATGCCTATTTATTAAATCACATAGCTGTGGAGGGTTTAATTTTATTTTATTAAGAGCCTGTACATCTGTAGCTCGTTGGCAGTTCATTTTGAATGTGTCAGAATGCTGGGCTCAGGTGCCAAGTATGATGCATTGTACCCAGTTCAGCAGTAAGATGACTTGTGTTGGTAGTCCCAGCGCAGGCAAAGGGGAGATCTAGCAGCAGAATAACAGACGTGCTTGGGAAGTGAAGTGCCTAAGGGACAAGAATTCACTGAACGGTCCAAAGACAGGAGCCAGTCCTCTGTCTCACTAGAACTGAGTCCAACACATAACTTTAGTTTGTTACAAGATCTCTGTCTGTCAGGATCTTCTGTTTTAGGGGGTTAAAGGGGTAAAATTGGTTTGCTGCAGTTTCACTTTGGAGCTACTGTAGTAGTCCTACTTTTCTGGGTTGGTGTCCTGCTGCTGTAGGTAGTACGAGGAAAGGAACAGCTCCAGGCTTGGTGTGTGCTCTCTCATACCTGTGGGTTTCTTCCTCACCATCTCTCTCACAGACTGCCTGGAAAGTCTTTGTCAGTGAGGATGGTGAGTCCTGGGTCAAAACTGGTTCTTCACACAAAGGTTTATGGGAGTGTGGAACAAGCTACCCTGCCATGTTGTTGAAGCTGATACCCTATACTCTAAAGTCCCCATAGGGTATACAGATATGCTTCCTTTCAAGATAAGGCTGGATGAGATCCTTGGATCTATTAGCTGCTAACTACCAAACAGGATAGATGGGCTGAACAGGCTTGTTCGTAATGGTTCTTGTGTTTCTAGCCAGTTGTCAGTTCGGGCTGTGTGCAGAGGCTGAGGTTGTTGCTCCTTTGCAATTTTGTACGGCCCTGCTGAGATGTAGGATGCAGTCCTTGGGCGGGCTTTCTAAGTGATAGCATCCTGTTCTTGTGATAAAAGCAGGCAGATCACTCTTTTCCTGTAAAGATCTTTTACTACATTCCGTAAGCCATGATTCATCGGCTGGATAAGTGCAATTGTGTAAGGAGAAGGGACGACATTAATTCAATGCTTGAATTAGGACTAAGATTTGGCATCAAGCATACACCGCTAAGAGGGTGTTTGTGACAGACACGGCTCTTCATTAAATCGGCACAAAGAAGTTTGAAGACTACTGCTTTATCACTAACATAAGAACACACATTACAAACAATAAGAGGCTCTTCAACCCATCTAGCTTATTTGATTGCTAGTAGCTATTTGAGGATGTCTTCCAACCAGTACATGAAGGAGATCAGTCTACTGGTTCAGCATCATGGGTAGGTAGGTTATTCCAGACTCCCACACAACTTAATTGTGTTAAGCAGTATCTCCTTTTACAGTGTTATACATCCTGTACATTTCCCCTTAGTTTGCACTTGTGTCCTTAGGTTTTTGTTTCCTGTTTATTATGAAGCCATTTATTGTATTGCCTTTGTCAGTGTCTTTGAGGAGTTTGAAGACTTGTATCAGATCACCTCATAGTCTTCTTCTATCTGGTTGCTTTGCTCTGGATTGATTACAGAGCAGTAAAACCACTGTAAAGTTGTATTCAATTTATTTTTTTGATGAATATTCTAAGTGAGGTCTTAATAAATGGTTCTATAATATTAGTATAGCATCCCTTGATTTAAAAACAAAGATTTTTAATTAGAAAACCAAACATTGTGGATACCTTTTAATTGCTTCTTCACAGGGTCAAGATGAAAATATAGTATCAAAATGAACAACTTTCTCATATGTAATTAATTGAGTTTTGGTATTACCATCATTTATTTTTAGTTTTTTGTTTCCTGTAAGTAAAGTTGTCCTTCTCAAAATGTCCACATCATCTGCCAAGTGTCTTACACAGTCTTGCATTTTGTCTGTAAATTTCCTTTGTTATGTTTCATGTTTATTGATCCTGTTATTTTGGTTTCATCTGCAAACTTGACTATTTTGCTGATGATACCAGAATATAGATCATTGATGTAGATAAGTAAGAGCAGTAGTCCCAGCACAGATCCCTGTGGTACTCTATTGACTGCAATGTTGTATCTAATCTATTAATCGTTTATGAGGAACTTCAAACTCAACTCAGAATCATTCAGAGAATTTAAATATACCACATCATATGCTCAGTGTATGTCCATTACTACTGTTTCTTGTTCCAAGAACTTTTGCATGTCCGTTATGCCAAACATGTTTTCAATATCCATGTGGACTATCTTTCTAAATCAATGTTAAAAACAGTGTGCGCCTCTTTATAAAATTTAAAAAAGCAACGCTGTTTAAAATGATTTTGTATAATTGCTGTGGGAGATGGATCGTTGTTTTTTGTAAGTATGAAGCACTTTGGTATTCTTTGGGATGACGAGATGTATGTAAATGCGAGGAATTTGTATAAGTGTGTGATGTGCCCTGCGGATATCTACCACAGGAATTGGTAGGGGTGTGTCATGTTTTGCCCAATTAATGATGCCTTAATAGCTGTTGTCCTGTCATGTATACACCAGTGATGTTCAAAGAGAGAAAAAAACAGTCCAGCCTCTGCCCCTTTACCCCCTAGGGAAAAATGCCTGAAACACACTCATATGATGCGTCATACGTTTATGCAAACAACCTTCCTCTTTTTTTTTATCTTTTCTGTTGCAAACTTGTCCCCTGGGACTGTGTGTGCTGTACTGTACCCTGCAAGTAGCTGTGTTTTCAGAGGCTATTTTGATGCTATCTGGA